CCCCAAAACCCCAAAACCCCAAAACCCCAAGTTGGATATTTAAGAGTGAAAGTTTAACTTATATAATTTTGAGAAAGATGACTGAACTATTCACTCCTTACAATTATGTACAGAAGAATTATTATCACCATAAACATCCTCTGAAGACGGCAAAAACAGGCTTATCAAACACACCTTATGGAGTAAGAATTTTATCTTAAACATTCTTGGTATCAAAGGATTGATCTTTTTCTAAGAGCTATGTGTTATTAGATTTGCCTAAATTAATTTGTTAGAGCTCTAACCTTCCCTTTTTCTTAAATTTATATAAAGGAAATTTTGAAATCTCACCAATAACTTTAGAAATTGCAAAAAGGATATCAAAATATGCTCTTTTCAAACGAACTAGACAACAATGATGATGTTCTTCACCATCTTCTAAAAATAGAACAATTGGATCACCAAACCAAGATCTTAATTGATCAGTTCAAGATACTTGAGTCATGCCCTCTTCGAGGATCTTTAAAGAGACGTATGAGCTTACAGACTGGAACGGAGAGCTTATTGATTGGAAAGCAAAATCTATTCTCTAGCATACCTAGGGAAATGCTGATTCAAAATATATTTGAAATACATAGGAATGCTAGTAAAGGATCTACCATATCAACAGGAGACAAATTCGAGAAATCTTTTAAAAGAAATGACACTGTCCATAAATCAGCCCTTAGGAGGTTTAGGAGGTTCTACAGAAAGCTTTTCAAGACTCAGAATGCTAGGATTGTAAAGAAGAGATATGTAAACTGCAAAGTTAGACTGCTCTTCAATAAAATGTTGAAAACTTTGAAGACAATTATTCCTGAAGAATGTATCACAGACGATGTGGTTTACCTTGCGATGGGAATTATAGGCCTCAGAGATCCATCTGCACTTCCTTGCAGTCCTACAGTTCTTCGAGAGATTATAGATATCGTTGATTGAGCAAGAAAATTCTCAAAGAAGAAGTATGAAGCATGCCTTCGTTCTGAAAGTTTCAAAGTACTACTCCAAAAATATACCGAGATTTCAACCAATTCACAACAAAGAGCCTTGCTATTGAACGAACCTCACTAAGACTTTCCTCTCATAAAATTTGAACCTAAATACTTCATCCACCAATGTCCAATTACCACTTAAAATTCTCATAAAAGACTTAAAAACTCACAAATCATCACTAACAAATTTTAACCTCCTTCTCCTAAATCTCCACCGAAATCCAAAGCGGCCTTAAAACCCACAATCCTTTTAGCCCTCTTTAAAATTTAACTTGCTTATCTTCTACTTACTGCCCTGCTTGCTTAAACTCTTCCATCCTGAAGGATGGAAGAGTTCGTTTTTATGCTGGGGTAGGGGAGGTGAGTGAAATGAAGGAGTTTTGTGGAGTAAATATGGAAAATTAGAGTGGTATTGATTTAGAACAAAGATTCACTGATAGTCTGCTGGTCATTTATAACCTACTTAATAGGTAGGAGGCTTCAATGAGACTACATTTAGTCTCCAATTTGCTCCTGATTAAGTTTCTAGTAAAATATTTTCAGCAATTACATAAAAGGAGGGCTATATCTCTAACTTGAGAGATCTAGATGACAAATCATAGAACGTGAACATAATTTTTGACTTTATTAAATGCTCTTAAAGACTATCACCAGAGCAAGAGCAATAAAATGAGTAAATACCCATTCTCTTCCTAAATCCCCAATACGACCAAGAAGGCGGCCCATCATGCAACTCATAAATAAATTTCAGAGATGAAAATGGCAGTGCATGAAATGGTGTCTTCAATTCTGTTCACATTCAAAGCTACAACTGATTCAGCCAGGAACAGTTTCAGTGCACAGGGACTAAGTGGGCTGAAGGAATTTGAAAACTAAATAAAGGAGCACCAGGAGAAAGCCAGACAACTTATTTAGGCTTGAAGGACTTTTAGGGGTGGAAATTGGGAGTTTTGGAGATGTAGCCTATGGTTATTAAAAATGGAGGTGACAGATTTTTGGGGTTTAGTGCTTTGTGAGAATTGGAGAGAGTGGGGTGGTAAGTTAATTGATTTTGATTTGGCTGTTTTCATTGGGTTTTGGGGGATTATTATTAGACACAGTCTTAATTCATGCAAACTCTTGGAAGTTTGATGAAAATTTCTTAAATATTATTTTATCAAAACATCATTTACACAATTTGGCGACTTTCATGTCAACTTGTTATTTGTAATTTCTTAATGCTGCCAGGTTAGAGGAGTAAGAAAATAGTATCTAAGTGTTACTAAAACCTCAGAGAACTCTTAGCTTTGTACCTTGATAGGCTCATTTTCTTATAAAAGTTGATATGATAATCGAACCCTTCAAAGGTTTTATTAAAATTTATTCAAATTTCCCTAAATATTTCTTAAAAAGTAGTCCTAATGGAATTTTCGATAACATTTTATTCTTACTACTATCATAAAGTTAACATTTTCATAAAATAAGACTTGCGTGTGCTCTTTTGAATGTAAAATATGCATGGTAAAATGAACTGGTAGTGCTTAGAGTTGCAAGATCATCTTTTTCTAATTTGGTCTAGGCTTTATTAGAAACTACAGAGTATGTCAAAATTGTTAAAGCTAAGGCTTCCGGTAAGCTTAGTTTTATATAAACATGCTTTTTTGATAATTTAAAACTTTCTTTCCTCCTCCCCCATTTCACATTTTATTGTAAAATTATTAATTTTTGATCTTATAAACTATCTAAAAAACTTCTTCAAACCACTTATACTAATTATTCACTTCCTCTCTCACCTAATAACCGTACATATCCCTATCCCAACTATTTTCCATGCCAATCTCACTTCCCATAAACTTCCCCATCCAAAACACCCTCTTTCCCTCCTAACTCCTTTCCAGACCCACCCTTCCCCCAAACCCCTCCCTTCATTTTTCTCTATCCCTCAACCCCCATTTCAATCTCCATTTCTCCACTTGGGGTTTTGGGGTTTTGGGGTTTTGGGGTTTTGGGG